ACTTCCGGGGTGGGGCGGGGCGGTGCCGGCTCAAAAGCGCCCGGATGCGGGACCAGCTCGGAACTTTCCAGAAAAGTCGGGATCGGCGCAGGGTGAGGAGCCGCCGCCGCGGGGTGCGGGACCGGCCGCCGCTCAGGGGCCGCCCTCCGCCATGGTGAAGGAGACTACCTACTACGATGTGCTGGGCGTGAAGCCCAACGCCTCTGCCGAGGAGCTGAAGAAGGCCTACCGAAAGCTGGCCCTGAAGTACCACCCCGACAAAAACCCCAATGAGGGCGAGAAGGTGGGCGCCGGGGACGGGACGGGGCTGCGGGGCCGGCTGCCCCGCCAGGATGCTGATAGCGGGGCCAGGGGAGCGGCAGGGGAGGGCTTGGGGGGAGCCGGGGCCGGTGTGTGTGGGGGGGCGTTTGGGGCTCCACGTCCCGGGTGTCTGAAGCATGGGTGTGTGTCTCCCACACAGTTCAAGCAGATTTCCCAAGCTTATGAAGTGTTGTCGGACCCAAAGAAGAGAGACCTCTATGACAAAGGAGGGGAGCAGGCCATCAAAGAGGGTGGCTCCGGAGGCGGCTTCGGGTCACCCATGGACATATTCGATATGTTCTTTGGCGGTGGTGGGAGGATGCAGAGAGAGAGACGAGGTAACGTGCCGTTTTCTGACACTTTCCCAGACTTTACCGCGTGGTCGTGGGGCCAGACACGATCAGAGTCTCTGAGGAGACTGCTGTACATGTAAGACTTTATAAATAGAGTTAAAATTCAGTTACAGGCTTGATCTCAGGATCGGAGAAGTTATGGTCTGTACTCTTTAGCACCAGAAACGGGCAGGGGAGGGCATTTGGTTTGTACGGTGGTAGTTTGGTCTCTTGTGCGTTGTCTCACGTTAATAACTAACCAGATTTAGTGTTCCGAAAGCTGAGGGTAGGTCCAGCAGCTAATAGGCTGAATAGGAAGCGAATGCTAACATACCTTAAAGTGATTTTGTAACTAAGCTACCATAAGTGTAGCTGAGTTTTAATTGCAAGTAACTGTATCTAAATAAGATAGCCAAATCAAATTCAGTCTGTGAAACCTTTTTGTTTTCCTGTACTGTTCAGGGGAACTGATTTGAAGGTGCAGTAAAATGTTGCTCAGTGACTAAACCCCACTGGGAAAGACTCTTGTGTTAATTGAACTGGCTAAGAGTAGCGTTGACCCCGGCAATTCCTAGTGTGGACTTGGTGACAGAGGAAAGAAAAAAGGTTTGGATGAAAATGTTGCAGTGTTGTATCAAAATGTTCCTAGTTAGCCAGAACTTGTCTCCTACAAAACCAAGCCTGCTATACCTAAAGTTCTCGTTGATTTCTGAGTGTAAAAATGTAATGACTCAATTCAGTTTCCGGAAAGTCCCCTGCTGAGAAGGAAGAAAGTACTTTATCGACTCTAGGCAGCGTCTTCCACTTCCTTGTAGGAGATATGTTCAGTCTCTTTCTTAAAACTGAAGTCCTGCAATATAAAACTTGTATGTCTATGGTTCTACATGTTTTGCTTGTGCTACTGGTTGTGCTTTCACAGAAGAGCATTTTGACTTATTCGAACAGAGAAGCGTTACTGACAAAGCCATTAGAATTGTTACCTAATTTGACATCAGAGAGGTAACGGGCTATTGACTAATATCAGCAAAACAAGATAAAGCTATATCAAAATAGGATGTTAGAGCCAATAGACTTGGGTTGTCATGACTTGAGCTTAGTGACATGGGAAGCTTACTATTACTTGAGCAAATACCTTTTTTCTTTTTCAGGTAAAAATGTGGTACATCAGTTGTCAGTAAGTTTAGAAGATATGTACAATGGTGCAACAAGGAAACTTGCACTGCAGAAGAACGTTATCTGTGACAAATGTGAAGGTAACTGTGAAACTGAAACTAAACACAAGTTGCTTCTGGAGATTTCAGGGATTTTTTTCTTGCAGTGTGTAACCTTTTGTCCCCAATTCTCATTCTCCGCAGGTCGTGGTGGTAAGAAAGGTGCAGTAGAATGCTGTCCTAATTGCAGAGGAACAGGCATGCAGATCAGAATTCACCAGATTGGGCCAGGAATGGTGCAACAAATCCAGTCTGTGTGTATGGAGTGTCAGGGGCACGGGGAGCGCATCAGCCCGAAGGACCGGTGTAAGAGCTGCAATGGCCGAAAAATTGTTAGAGAGAAGAAGATATTAGAAGTTCACATTGACAAAGGTAAGGTGTCCTATTAAGATGAAGTATTGAACTTGGATGGACTGACTAATTTTGAACCATTAGAACAGAAGCTTTAGCAGATGCATGGTGGTGTTTTGCTGAGTAACTCTGCTGAATACATACACTGTAAAATTGACTGTTGCTGCCTTTAAAAAGTAGGAGACTTGTTTTTGGGAACGTTGATTACTTCTATGTTCACGTCTAATATGTGTGCACATAACTAAGAATGAATTCTGAAACAAGCTGTATTGTAAGAGGTGAATTATTTTTGAGCAACCTCCTAAGAAAAAGTCTTGGTCAGATAGATCGATCAATTACAATAAAGCTCATCACTTGTTGGCTCAGCTTGCCTAATGAGTTTTGCTTGAAAAGCCCGCAGACTCCGATCACTTCTACTGTGTTTCAGTGTGAAGGGGAACCAGGTCTGCTATAGTAATAGGGTGCAGAGACAGTGCCAAGCCTCTCATGCTTAGAGCTCTGTTTGCTATGCAACCCTGACAGTGCTGCTCTGTGCAGGTACTCTTTCCCTGGCAAAATGCAACTCGATACACAAACCCTCTCAGTGACAGGAGAACATGAGAGTTGAGTAACAAATACATCTCTCTTGGGAGGCTGCTCAAGAGCTAGTGGTAGAAGTCTTAGGAGTAATGTGGTTTGTAAGATGGGGGAAGGTGATGAGCACATGGCTTCTACGGACCCATGCCTGGTTATCATCTGGAACTGTTGATCTTTAAGGTCCCCTCCAAGCTGAACCATTCTAGATTTCTCATTCTGTGTGTCAAAAACACCTTATGCAAGGTGTTTGGTGGATTTGTTTTGAACAGGGAAAATCCTACAGTGACGTTACGTATGAGGGCTAGTGAGGACATCTTGAACAGGAAAACTGCTTACAAGAGTTTCTTTTCCTTTCCTTACAGAAAAACAGACTGTAAGCTAGCAGGAGGCAGCTAGAATTTATGGTAGAGACACTTTTGTGTGGGTGAAGTGGGTTTCTTACGTGATGGTTACAGTCTTTATAAAACTGAAGAAGATGATTGATCACTTGCTCTCAAAATGTATTTTGAATGCAGTATTTCTGTTTTGGTTTTAGTACTTGTGCATACAATGAAAACTGTTTTCATAACGTTTCCCTTAAGGACTTTGTCTTGGCAGATGGCTGTTTTGCACTAAACAATTAAGCTTAATAATCTTGAGATATAGTTCAGGTTGGCACCACTAAAATCCGTTGAACATGTGAGTGGATTAAAAAAAAAAGATGAATGCTTCAAGGGAAGGTCGTGATGTTCTACGACCCAGAGATCTCCTGGTACCGTGTTGTGCTTATCAAAATATTTCTTACTGCTGCTTTTCACTTAAAAAAAAAAAAAAAAAGTTTCTCACTTGTTTTCTGCAACAGGAATGAAGGATGGTCAAAAAATAACATTCCATGGTGAAGGGGACCAAGAGCCAGGACTAGAGCCAGGGGATATTATTATTGTCTTGGATCAGAAAGACCACTCTGTATTTGCAAGGTAAAACTCTGGAAATCTTTTGTGTTAACTCCTGAGATGCTTGTCCACATGCTTCCTTGGTTACCACTCACCTTTCATCTACTGCTGTTTCCAGTAGATGAGATCACATGGCTGGACCTCACGTGTGTTTGGGTGTCTGAGGAACATCGAGGTGTGCAGGAATCCTGGTGCATCTAGTCACAGCCACTTGTGTTCTAGTAGCATGAGATACTCTTATGTGAGCTTTGGCAGTGTAAGGAGATGGAAGGCAAACAAAACTAGTTACAGTTACTAAGAGTTTACAAATCTTGAACTTTAAGACCTCTTAAAAATACTGAGATTTCATTTAATAGATGTATTTGTGATTACTTCCTTGCTCTTTCTAGGATAGCATTCCATCATTTACCTCAGAAAATTACCACTTAGTGTAGGCAGCGGTTCATTGCCTACTTGGCTTCAGGGCACAGAAAACTTTTGCTCAGGATCTTATTTATGACAAACTTACTGCCTGTAGCGTGCACTCTTCTGACCAAAGGTGGTTTCCCACACTTCATTTCCTGCCTGAGTGCACTGGACAGGATAATCAGGCCTGTCTGTTCTTTCTTGCAAAAGCAAAAGTGACTCAAGCATCATTGACCATGTCTCAAGTATTTTGTGTTACTAGCCAGTACTGCTGGGTGTTGCAGACCTCCTTGTTTCAAGTTACTGTGAGTCTGTCCAGTACATTTTGGTCCAATTAGAAGCAGCACTTGACATTGCACAGAAATGTGTTGCACGTGGCATCTCACTGCTTCTGTTCAGAGCAGTAACAAGGGAAT